ATTATTAAGGCTCCTACATTAGATTTGTATAAAAAGCCTCTTATGGAGTTCTATACGGACTTGATAAGCAGTCGCAGGCTTGACATTGGTGTTTCGAAGCAAGAGCTGGGGGTTTTGTAAGAAGGGAAGCTCTTTTGGGGAGTTGGGTTCGGTGTAAAAAGGGCTCCTTACAAATATGAGCGAGTGGCTTTCGGGTTCAGTATGGGTAGGGGGTGCTCGTAATGCAAGCCCTACATCGTAAAATGCTTTCAGTAAGGGTTGACTCACTACCGCCAGGCTTACTACTTGTCAAGGGGGTTCTTGGGATTCAGATTTCGGATTCTGGGTTTAGCGTGAAGCATGTAGGGTTTGGGATACAGCATCGAAGCTTTCGGCGAAAGCGTGCAGGCTTGGGGGGGGTTTGAGGTATGGTGCATGGGGCTTGCGGGAACCTGCCCAAGAATCCTTGTTACAATGAATCCTAGGTAGTATGAGGGAGACCGCTTAAAGGGGACCCTTCTTAACCCTACTTATGGCTCTCTTAAACGGGACCTTATTGAGAGGGACTAGATCCCCAAGGGTCCCCAAATCCTAACTCCTATTGTTGCGCGAGTCAAGCCTCTACGTCAAAAGCCTGAATGGTAGGGGCCTAGCACAGCCAACCCTATCCCTGAAATCCTACATCTTAAACCCTAGACCATGACATCCTAAACCATGAAATCCCAAACCCCGCAGCTTTTTGAAGATTTCCCCGTGCGACGACTGCGACGATGCACAGAACTTGCGCAAATCGTGCGTGAGGTTTGCTCTGAAGCTTCAGGGTTCAGAAGGTCAGGTTCGGAGTTTAGGGGGTTGGGGGTGTCAGCGCTTGTAGCTTATAAGCCTTAGACTCCCAAAGTCTTAAAACCCTATAAACCCTAAGAAAGGGTAAAAAAGGGGCGATCAACAAAAAACAATAAAATAAACCCTAAAACCTAAACCCTAAACCATAAAAAGGGTAAACAAAAAGAGGCGATCAAAGAAAAGCAATAAAATAAACCCTAAACCCTAAACCCTGATCCCAACACCACTCAACCCCTCAGCCCCCGAGCTCTTAAAGCCTACCTTAACCTACCAAACCTACTTTTTTGTAGGGTACCTATAAATTCTATATTAGGGTTTATAATAGGAACCTACGAAAAAGCAGGGTTTGGTAGTTTAAGGTATAGAAACTCTAGAGTTTGGTGCTTGGGCCGTGCACATGTCCAGCGTGAGCGCTCGATTTGGTAAGCGGGCCGACCACTCCTTCCTGTACCCTAAACCCTAAACCCTAAACCCTAAACCCTAACCCAGACTCAAGCCGCGGCTGTTCTGAAACGGGGTCCTGTCCGAGAACCCAAGCTGTTTCGGGCTCATGGTTGGGGTGTCTGTTTAGGGTTTAGGGTTTAGGGTCTGTCTGGGCTACATGAGTCCTAGGGTTTCGATATGATTTCTGGGGTGTTCTCGGATGTCAGAAGGGGAGTCTAGCACTGTACATTGCTTTGGCCCCTGGAAAATGGCTCGAGGCTTTGAGGTTCCGGTCTTTAAACGTGTCAAAAGCGACACATGTATCGTGTCAAGTCTCGGGTTTAGGCTTAGGGGGTGTGGTGTTGGGTTCAGGCAGGGTTTAGGGTTACTGTGAATAGTTTGTTCAGGTAGATTTTCGAGCCTGCATTCTAAACTTGAAGTCCTAGACGCGAAACCCTACAAGCCGTTGTGCCAGTTGCAAGGGCCGACAGGAAGGAGTTAGGGGAGAGTAGCAAGAACCCTGATCTGCTTGAGCTAGAGGAATAGTGGTAATATAGGGGCCTTAGTCATTAGAATAGGGCTTGGGGGTATAGTATACTATACTAACAAAATATTAAGGAGCCCCCAAAACCCTATCTTCTAATTATGAAGGGCCCTTAAATATCATTCCTTCATAGGGCTCTTTCTTGAGCCCGAACCCTGGATCCAACAACCTGAAAAAAATTCAAGTTCACAGGGGAGAGGGGTTCAGGGTTTAGGGTTGAGGGTTGAGGGTTTAGGGTTCAAGGTTTATGGGAGCAGCCTGGGATCCTCAGACCCTTCCCTCCCTGAGCCCTTGCCATCATGAGAATCGGGTTTTGGGGTCGATGATCTTGCAAGTAGAGTAAGGAACCCCAAAGAGCAAGGGTAACAAGTTAGGCGCCTATACTGCACCCTCTAACCCTAAACCCTGAACCTTAAACCCTGAACCTTAAACCCTAAACCCTGAACCGTAAACCCTGAACCCTAAACCCTAAACCCTGAACCCTAAACCCAAACCCTAAACCCTAA